GCGGAGACCCATTGTAGGTCCCTCCGAACCATTCTCCCATTCAAAATACTCTACTCCTCGTCTTCCTGCTGCTCTGGAACAAGTCAGGTAAAGCCAATATATGTGGGAATGCATGTTCTCTGGTTGGCTTCTTGGTTCTGGTGACAGGGTATGCATCACAAAACTACAGATAATATCCATAGTTTTGCTTATTTTCAGCTGATGTTCAATCATGAAGACAATTATCCAAAGCTAATGAAACAAATAATAATAACTATAAAAAGAAACTTAAGAAACTAAACTAGAAGCTAACACTGGTAGAGACTACAGTTGGCTTCAAATAGTTTCAGGGAGTTTTGTTTTCTTTTAAAGCCTTTCATTTATCATCTCACAGGCTTCAGAAACAGGTTGATAAGAACTTTCTTAAAGCGGAAAAGCAAAGGTTGAGAGCTGAGAAGAAGCAACGTAAAGCAGAGGTCAAGGAACTTAAAAAGCAGCTTAAACTCCATAGGAAGATTCATCTGTGGAATTCAATCCATGGACTTCAGAACCCCAAGTCTCCTTTGGGCCGACCTGAAAGCTTACTGCAGTCTAGCACCCTGATGTAAGCCCAGGGTTGGGGTGGGAGCCAAGACATTAGCACCAGCTCTTCAAAACTGAACTTCAGCCCTCTTCTGTATATTTGTTGGCAGCCCCTAACACTCAAACCCTTAAAAGGTCCCATTCTCTGATCACAGCACTATTTTATTTTATTATTATTATTTTTTAATTTTCCAGAGGGCATGTGTGTTAGACAGAGAGGAACAGAAAGAAGGAAGTGAGCGAGCACTCCCCATGGGGGATATTTATGCTGCAATCCCTTCTCCATCTTTCTTTTCTTTCAGGATTTTAGGCACATGTGCCCAGCATGATTCTCAAGCTAGTGGGATGGCAGCATGACCCACACAGTCAACTGTGGGGTCCAGCTGCTTTAACCTCTATACCACCAGCTGGCCATTTTGGTTTTTGACTAGTTATTTTTTAAGCAATTTTTTTAAGTTTTCTTTTTTTCTTCTATGGCTGAGAGAGACAGAAACAGCACCCCCAACAGGGTCTTGACATTGTGAGCCATCCCCAGCCTTTGCCACCCTCAGATCATGGGCACATGTGTGCCAGACTTAGGGAACTCTCTCGACTGAATCCAGAACCTTCCACATAGGTCAACTTTGCAGAATGTCAAGTTTTACCACTATGCCACCATCCAGCCCTCTTTATTTGTTTTTTTGTTTTTGTTTTTGTTCTGTTTTCAGTTTTGCTTTGGGACATGAGTACTTGCTATAGAAAGAGAGAAAGTGAGAAATCACCCCTTGGGGGGAAGACCACTCCACAACCTCTTCTCTTCCATTATCCTCTCAGGATTTGGGGCATGCATGCATAAGCTCCTGGTGTGATTTGCAGGGTGCTGAGACTGGGAGTAGAACCGCAGTGGGCCATCTGAGAGTCAGCTGCCTTAATCACCATGCCACTTGCTGCCCCCCTATTAGAATAATTTTTAAGGCAGATGTATTTAGTACTTCCTCAAGAGTCAGGCTCAGCTGATATTCAGAAGCCATCATAAATCCACCAGCAAGTGACTAAGCATCTAAATTTCTGTTCAGGCTCTCTTTGCAGCCCTGTGCTCCAATTATGCCAACACTCAGTGCGGCATTTGTGGATGAGAATTTGCCTGATGGGACTCACCTTCAGCCAGGGACCAAGTTTATTAAACACTGGCGGATGAAAAATACAGGAAATGTAAAGTGGAGTGCCGACACAAAGGTATATTTTCTCACAGAATGTAAAGACGTGATTTGAAGTGGCAGAGGACTCAGCTGACAAGCTTTCTCTTGTTATTGTTCTTTGCAGCTTAAACTCATGTGGGGAAACCTGACTTTGGCATCTACAGAAAAGAAAGATGTTTCAGTTCCCTGCCTGAAGGCTGGCCATGTGGGCGTTGTGTCTGTGGAGTTCATTGCCCCAGCCTTGGAGGGAACATACACATCCCATTGGCGTCTTTCTCACAAAAGCCAGCAGTTTGGGCCTCGGGTTTGGTGCAGTATTATAGTGGATTCTTTCCCCTCCACAGAGAGCCCTGATAACTTGGAGAAGGGCCTGAGTAGCTCAAGCAAAGATGATGATCTCACCTGCCAGCAAGAGGTAGGCATTGATAGGCTTTGGCCCAATACCCCAAGGTGTTTGTACTCAGAGTGAGGGAGAGGGTGACTAAAACGTAAAGAGCCTGCTCATAGCTAGTCGTTCTTCCAGAAATCATGAAAGGTCAGCTTCTAGTCCACAGGGGCTCTATTTCAGTGTCCTTAGGATCTCAGCATAGGCAGTTCCTGAATGCTTCTGTATCTCTTTGTGTAATGCTCAGTCAGCCTCTTGGCTGCATGAGAGAAAGAAGGGCTGCCTGGCCTGGCCTATGGAACTGTTATACTGATAGCTCTGCTCCTTCACATTCATCTCTCCTGAAATGTCCCTTTGTATGTTCTCTAAATACTAACGAAGTTATGCCTAGTAGTTACTTGGTGCATAGTTATTGTTTTGTTTTATTTTTATGTTTTTTGCTATAGGGCACATATAGTCTCTGGAGAGAAACAGAGAGAGCTAGAAAGGGGGAAAAAAATCAGTCTCTGGGGGATGGCCATGCCACAGCCCCTTCTCCATTCTCTTTAGAATGTTGGGCATATGTATACACATACAAACACCCTGTATGTTATTTATTTATTTAGTCTTTTTTGGGGAAAAAAAAAAAAAAAAGAGTTGTTTATTTATTTACTTATTTACTTAATTTTTTTAATTTGACCAGAGAGGGATAGGGTGCGGGGGGATGAGAAAGCAAGCCACCATGTCTAGGACTCAAACTGCAACCAGCCATGTGGGAGTTCAAGTGCCCTTAACCACCATGCCACCTGCCGGCTCCAGTTTACTTATTTTTTTAAATTTGCTTTAGGGCATACACACTCACCAGACAGTTGGGGGTGGGGGTAGGCATGAGAAAGCAGACTGCCAGGCCTGGAACTTGAACAGCAGTTAGCCATATGGGAGTCCAGCTCCTCAACCACCATGCTACCTGCTGCCCCACCTCCCTGGTGTGTTTTCCAAGATCTGGGACTTGAAAGGCTCAGTCAGCCATGTGGGATCCAGCATCTTAACCTGCCACCTGCTGGACTAGTGTACAATTTTTTTATCCAACTTCTCTGTATTAGCGGGGCAGAGATTTACTGCCTAATGTTGGTTCCCTGGATTTGTCTATTGTATCATGGTGAGGTTATTAGTTATTGTTAGGGAAGCCTGGGTGAAGCTGTGGCAATATGTGAACTCTGAATTATTTTTAATAATAATACACTCACGAGAGAGAGAGAGACCAAGAAACTGACAGAGATAAAGCACCCCTTAACAGTGTGTGGTCATACCGCAATCCTTTCTTCCATTTCTCCACCCTGTTGAGATTTGGGGCATACATACATAAGTACCCAGGGTGTTTCTCAAGCTACTGACCCAGGATTTGAACTATGTGGTCAGTCATGTGGGACCTGGCTGCCTTAACCAGCAGGCCATGGAGCCAGCTTATAAGTTTTTTCTTTTTCTTTTTTTGGAGAGGTTTTTGCTATAGGGTGCGTACGCTCGCCAAAAAGAGACAGAAAGCCAGAAATCACCTCCCTAGGGGAATGTCCATGCTGCAATCCCTTCTCCTCCATTCTCTTCTCAAAATCTTGGGCACGCACACATGCACGAACACACGCCCAGCGTGAGTTTAAGCCACCGGGTTCGGGACTCACAACTGCAGTCAACTACATGGGAGTCCAGTAACGTAGACATTACAACAACTGTTGGTCCCAAGCTCATAAGTTTTATATCAAAACTGAGGCTAGTAGATGGCATGATGGTTACGGCACTGGATTCCCACATGGTTGATTCAAGTCCCAGACCCAGTGGCTTGAAAATCCTGCTGGGTGTCTGTATGTGAATGCCCAAAATCCTCAGAGGATGGAGGAAAAAGGATTGCCACACACCCTCCCAGGGAGTGATTTCTTATTTTCTCTCTCTCTCTCCAGCAAGTGCATGTGCCTTAGAGCAGAAAAAAAAATTATATAAAAAATGTTTTTTAAAAATGTAGAGGTACAGCGGTGTTTTTGTTTTAGAGGAGGCACTGTCTGCCTGCCTCTTGAGTTCTGTTGAGAGTCTAAACCTTACACCAGTGGCTTTTCTCTATAGGAGGCTTTTCTTTTGGCCAAAGAAGAAATTCATCTTGGCAAAGCATCTGAGCAGACAGAAGGGACAGGGACCTGCATCCCACAGAAAACAAAAAACGTTGCCAGTGAAAGGGAGCTCTACATCCCATCTGTGGACCTCCTGACCGCTCAGGTAGAAGCTTCAGTGCTCTGAGGGGCAAGGGACAGCAAGAGAGTGAGCACTGGGAAAACAATTTTTACCTTGTTGAACAGTAGGTGGAATACCCATAGGTAGGATCCAGTAAGTTACAGAAATGCCCATTTAGATCCAATAAGATGCATTTAATGGGAAAGAAATCACCCACAGAAGCAAGTTTCTCGACTGAGTGCTTCCTCTTTGAGTTGGGAACTCAATCCTGTGCTTTCCCTCAACTTCCTCTTAGTGACCTCTTTATTTTAGCCTCTCTGGTTCATCATCACACACACTGCATTGTCTCTCTTTCCTGCCATCTGTTATTTGAACATCTAGTTCCCATTTATCTCTTTCTGTTTTCACTTGACTAAGAGGCATGAATTTGAACAGAGTGAATCCAGGATGATGTAGAGATGGCCCGTAGGTCCTGGATATAAGACAGAACATGGCTCCAGTGTGCCCTGCAGGCAGCCTAACATTGCTCATCTTTTTTCCAGGACCTGCTGTCCTTTGAGCTGTTAGATATAAACATTGTCCAGGAGTTGGAGAGAGTCCCCCACAACACCCCTGTGGGTAAGAATGTCACTCAGTTCATCTTGTTTATTTTATTAACAGGCATGAAAGAACCATAGCCTAGACTTTGGTAGTTACTAGTGTTTTATTCTGGGGAAATAGATGGCAATGATTTCTCCTACAATGCAAGAGTAAGTCTACACCCATGGTTCCATTTTCCTT